CTCCCTGCGCCCGCCCGCTCGGAGCGGCTCCGCCCAGCCGGGGCCTCACAAAGCGGCGCGGGCGGGCGAGGAGTTTCGCGACGCGGCACCGGAGGATCCCTTCGCCGAGCCCCGCGCTCGGAGCCGAACCCGCTTCTCCCCTCAAGCCGCCAGCAGTCGCCGCCGCCGTCCCGGCCCCCGGTTCCCTTCACACAGCGCGCATCCCCCTCCGGACGGAAAAGCGCGAGCGCGGGCGCTTTAACCTAAAAAATCAACCAGAGGGGCGAGGGGGCGGGGCGGAGGGAAGGGCGGGGCTGGGGGAGAGCACCGCCCCCCGGCCGGGCGTGGGTGGGGAGGGGGCGGGGTCAGGGAGCGGCGCGAGGGAAGGCTCGCGAGGGTTGGGCGGGGCCTGGCGCACGCGCGAGGGACTCTGAGGGGCGCGGGGAGGGGTCCCGGCGCTGAGGGGATTCGGGCGGCGGGCGGGGGTCCCGGGGCTGAGGGGAGACCCCCGGTGGGTGAGGGTCCCGGGGCTGAGGGGAGACCCCCGGCGGGTGTGGGTCCCGGGGCTGAGGGGATTCGGGCGGCGGGCAGGGGGTCCCGGCGCTGAGGGGAGACCCCCGGTGGGTGAGGGTCCCGGCGCTGAGGGGAGACCCCCGGCGGGTGAGGGTCCCGGCGCCGGGCGGCCCTGTCAGCACGGACCCACGAAGATGATCAGAGGGATGGAGCACCTCTCCTATGAAGACAGGCTGAGGGAGCTGGGATTGTTCAGCCTGGAGAAGAGAAGGCTCCGGGGAGACCTTATAACGGCCTTTCAATACCTGAAGGGTGCCTATAGAAATGCTGGGGAGGGACTCTTTGCCAGGAGGTGTAATGATAGGACAAGGGGAAACGGTTTTAAATTGGAAGAAAAAAGATTCAGATTAGATATCAGAAATAAATTTTTTACTATGAGGGTGGTGAGACACTGGAACAGGTTGCCCAGGGAAGTTGTGGATGCCCCATCCCTGGAGGGGTTCAAGGCCAGGCTGGATGGGGCCTTGAGCAACCTGGTCTGGTGGGAGGTGTCCCTGCCCAGGGCAGGGGGGTTGGAACTTGATGATCTTTGAGGTCCCTTCCAGCCCAAACCATTCTATGATTCTATGACCCTGCTGCCGGCTGCCCCTCCGACTGTCGGTTGGCGCGGGCCGGTGGTCGGCAGTAAGCGGTAGCCCTTCGAGCTCGGCCCAGGTGTCACCGCACCCTCCTCCCCTCACAGCTCCCAGGGCCCTGCCAAGGTTCTCCTCAGAACGCCTTCTGTTCAGCTTTGACACCCAAAATAACTCATTTTCTGCATTAATTGCGTTTCGACCTCAAGTGGGACTTCTCCAGTTGGAGTTTCCATGGGCAGGGAAACTTTATTCTCCTGACACCAAACACCAGTGTGTCGTTTCTTCACTGTTACTTCCTGTGCGCTCCCACCTTTTTTCTCACAGTCCGAAGTTCATAGAATATTTACCTTTATGATTCTGGAGCTTCTAAAAGCCATAGGCTTCGGGCCCGGGGCTGCGGGGCGCAGATTCCCCAGACACACGGTCCATCCCAGCTTGGCTCACCGAGGGCTGGCGGGGTCCAGCACCCTGGTGGGAAGCCCGACCTGTGGAATTTGGATCTCAGCCTTTGCTAAAAAGGGGTTGTGGGGCTCTGAAGGCTGGTGGGGACCTGGGCTGGTGCCCGAGTCCTCCCAGGACCCGGATTTCCAGCACTGCCGGCCCCTCGGGGACAACAGGCAGCAGCCGTGTATCAAACAGGCTTTGGATGATTTCCTTCCTCGCCCGAGCACAGTTTTGTAAATTTCTGAGATCAAAGCTGTGCAGGCAAACAACTTGTGTTTGTCCTTTTTTTTTTTGTTGTTGTTGTTGGTTTTTTTTCTATTTCCTTCCTAATAAACAAGAGTGTTCTTGTTTCTTCCCTTTCTCCAGCTATTCCTTCCCCTTCTCTTTACCGCTTGCCCTTTATGGCACAATTATCTTTGTTGTGCTGAAGGACTTTGTTGGCCATTCCAAGTTGTTTTATAATATTTCTAGTGTTTCCATCAAAGAAAAATCTGAGGAAATTTGACATTTCCTCAACCGTGGACTTATTCTGGGGCTGTGCCTGGTATCATTGCAGGAACAACAGCAGTGGAATGGATAGCCTGGATCTTAAAAGCAACTGCTCTTAACATCACAAAGTCATTACGCTGCTACCACTAGAAAGACACTATAAGATGCTCTCAAAAATTACAATCAGGTAAGGACACGGTTTCAGTCCGGTAAAGTCTATCAAGACCAATTTATTTATGATTTTTTTTACTTTATTTTGAACTTCTGTGGTAAAATTAACATTTCCAAATACCATGTCTATTATTGTTCCAAAGGTCGGGAGTTTGTACTAGTTATTTGGCAGAACACGTTATCCTTTTCCAACTTCAGTACATAAAATATTATTTCCAGTAGTGTGGGAATCTTTTGAGATTCCCTGCCAGGAAACCAAATCAAAAAGCTGGAGATGAAAAGTTTTCCTGAGTAATTGAGGAGAAGCAAGTAGAAAACAGCTGAAGCATGAATCCTTCTGTTTTTCTTCTTTTTTCCCTCTTTTTTTCTTTTTTTTTTTTTTAATACCAGAGATGTAATAGCAAATAAAGTAATTTTTCTTTATTGGCTCAGTTTATAGTTAAAGGTCATGTAAAAGATTAGTCGATCTTGCCCAAGTGCAGGTGGCTGGAAAAAAACCTTAATGGAAGACTAGAATAAAAATGCAACTGTAATCTGTGCTGTGACAGTTCTCAGGGATCTGTGATAATTTAAATCCTAATCCCATTTTTTAAGAAGGTAACTCACTTTACCACCTATTCTAGCTCTTCAGCATTCCTGCAGTCAAAATAGCACAGAAGTGGGGACTCAACATGGGAATAAAATGAGTAGCCTAACAATTCCTTTTTCTTTGGCACAGAAATTATCTTCCTTATTGTGGATCAGGCAAGAGACGGACATCGAGCAGGAAAATAGAGAGAGGATCTCAACAGGAACCAAAGCTGCTCTTCCAATTTAACTGCTTGGCTCAACTGGCCCGTGAAACACGGCCTACCTCGCTCCGAAAATACCTGAATTTGGGTAGGTAATGGCTCTAATTGCTGCAATTATTCCAGGGGCTATTTTAGCTGTCAGGTTTATTTTCCCAAATATCTGGAAAAGAGTGGAAACGAGTGCCATGATCCTAACTGCTTACTGGTGTTACAGCCTGTGTCCCCACACGGGAAAGCCTATGTAGTTAAACACAATTAAGGAGCTTTCACAAGTGAGTAATTTCAGGGCTGGGATTAAAGGATGTGGCCGAGCAGGATGCCTATTGTCTGTGTGGAGGAGAAAACTTGCTTCCTTTTTGTCTGGATTGTATCACTCTGCCCAACTAAAGCACCATTACTTATCACATAGTTTTTTTTATGAACAGCATTTGTAGCCTTATATATAAGAATTGAAGGTGTCTTGCTATTTATACAGATGAGTTGCAACCTCAGGAGATTAAATGTTTCTGCTTCAAACATTTGAGGAGATCAGCTAAATTACAAAGGACATCTCCTCCCCCTGGTATGTTCCTTCAATTGTTTGGGTTCACTGACACTCCCAAAGATGCCTTTTAATCTCACGCCTTTCACCGCCGTGTGCACATCCCAGATTCTTCAGGGTAAAACTCAACTTCCTCACCTCTCCCAGTGGGAAAGATAAACAATCACCATGCACCAAAATATTTTTTACTTGTATTTTCATGTATTCTCTATATTTCTTGTTCCCGTGAGTTTTATTACAGCCTGGCAATTTCCTTCCTCTGGTTCTCCAATACGGCTCTTGGGCTATTGTTTTTGATTTCTTAGTTTTGGCAAAAAAAAATTCCCCTTCAGAGATCCTTGGCAGCAACTACTGGCTAAGTATGTGGTTAACACACCGCAAGGAAGATGTACAAACTAATTCTCTGCCTGACTAGAGGAAAACAAAATGTTCTGGGATCCCCCAATGGGAAGAATCTCTTCAAACTCTTACCATATATTCTGATGATGAACTTCCTGAGTAGAACGTGTTTGTTTCAGGGCAGTAAAAGTGTGCGAAATGAGGGAGCCAAAGGGATAATCAGTAATTTTGTGCAAGTGCACCTTTTGTGGGGAAGTTCCATTTTTGCAAATGGCACAACGCTAATCAGGTACCTAGATAAGAGCATTGATCTCCCCTCTAAAACAGCATTTTGCAGCTCAAAATTTCCATTTCTGAAATTACGTCCCAGAAAATATGAAATACTAAATTATTTTTGCAAAATCAGAAGCGAGAATGAAACGGACATTTTGTATTGTCCCACTAATTTTGCTCTTCCTGAGGCAAAGTTCCCCACTGTGCGTATTCCTGGAGCTTCAAGGCAAGGGACAATGGTAAAATGTAGAAATGGAGCATGAGAATTGTGGGATCTTTATCTTTCTGCTGTATCATAACAAATTTTTTTAAAACTAAAACCCCATCTCTTCTCTTTAACTCAAGAGTAGCCTTGTTTTCCTTCCACATACAGATTTTTCCTGAAGGCTAGAAAGCCATGTACACATAAGCAATTACAGAGGTCATCCTGACAGTCAAACCCTTATTTCTCAGCCTTAATTAACAAGACTCAAACAAATGGGAAGCCTAACAACTTTTAAATGGGGGGATACAAGGCTTTCTCTACTTCTGCTTTACCTTCAGCTGCAATTTTGCTTGCTTTTTTGAGTTGCCTGTCACACATCTTTGATGGTCTCTAATGTGCTGAGTGCTGGTGTGAATGTACTGTGAACACAGGGAGCCTGGAGATTGAAAGGTCTTAAGAGTATATTAACATGCGAAGAGAGGGGGATGACAAGCCCCAGCTGCTCCCTGGAGCAGACTGAGCCACAGCTCTGGCTGGAGAGATTAACCATTTCCTATGTCTTAGCTCCCATCTCTTCTCAACTGAGGCCACGTTATGGGACGTCTACAGGAAAAGCTTCATAGAGGACAGGTGGAAATTCTAAAATAACCGATATTTCAACCAGTATTTGCCCAGAGAAGCTGTGGCTGCCCCATCCCTGGAGGGGTTCAAGGGCGGGTTGGAGGGGGCTTGCAGCAACCTGTTCTGGTGGGAGGTGTCCCTGTCCAGGGCAGGGGCTTGGAACTGGATGATCTTTAATGTCCTTTTCAACCCAAACCATCCTGTGATTCATGCTTGAGGACACGGAGCAGGTTAGGAACATCTCACCCTGGCTGTTGTGTCGGGTAAGGCCCAGCCAGCCATACACCGGTCCACTTCTGCAGTCCTAGTTCCCAAGTCAGGAGCAATCTGCTGAAGCAAACGCTGAATTAGGTTATTTGCTATTCATTTACTAAGGTTTCTATGAAAACAAAGCCGTGCATTGATACGGGCTCTCTGAAAGTTGCCAGCGAGGACAGTGAGAGCTATTTATATTGAAACAGCCCTGGCTGTCCCGTGACGCTTACATGTATGTTCTCATCTACCTCATTTCCCCTCCGTGTCCCAGTGTGGAAAGGCACGTATCGAGAAGGGCATTCCTCCTGCTGCCGAGTGAGGGGAAAGGTGCAAGTGAAGTGAGGGATGGCTGTCTGCCCGTCCTGCCTGCGCCTGCCGCCGCCCCGCGCCGACTTACCGCGCTCTGGCAAAGGGGAGCCAGCGGCATCGGGAGCGAAAAGACTCCTGCCAAGTCACCACAGCATCCCATCTGCCCCAGGCAGGGTGCAGTGCACAACATTATCGAAAGTGTCTGCTAAAACAGAATAAGAACTGACAAAACCATTTTAAATTGTTATAAAATACCATCTGAAATAGAAACGGCTGGTTTGATCGAAGCCAGAAGTTCTTGCCCCAAACAGACACCCTCTCGGTGATGGGACTGCCTTGTCTTTCTGTCTGAAACAGGCTCTTTTGTCAAACGGTTTGTCTGTCTTCTGCTGTTTCACTCTTACTACGCACAGCCTACGGAGACTCCGCTCCAGCCCCAGCGCTTTGTTGGCAAAAGCTGAAAGAGCATATGGACCTGTCTAGATATTGGAGGTATCCAGCAACAGGGTACAGATGTCCAAGCTCTAGCCTGAAAAAAACTGAAGGTGGGGGCTGCGGGGGAAAACCTGCCCTGACAGGAGGCAATCTGGAGTCTAGTGACTACCCCATTTGCATTTGCTTTCTTGTTCTAATCAGGTTAAAACTTCAGCTGAAGGATCTTCTTCGTGTGTCTGTAGGAAAGCTCATGCCAAAAACCATTAGAAAGGGGAGGGCGGGTCAGAGAATGGGCAGGGCACAGATAAAGAGGAAGGCTTAAAAAGAAAAAAAAAACCAACAAAACAATAAAAGAACACTCTTGCCATAGGAAACTCCCCACCAGTCGTCTGGCATCAGCAGCCAATTCAACACATCTTATTCCAAAAATTTAATGTCTCTCTCATTAATTTTTGGGGGCTGCTTAAAGCTGTAAAACTATAAGTTGCAAGAAGATTTCACAAACAGTGAGGATTTTGTGGCTGTGACCTGTTATAACCCAGAGAGAACACGCGATGGTATTTGTGTTTTTCTACTGAAGAGTTATTTTCAGAGGCAAAAAGCCAAACACTTGCATAACTCAATATTACCATTCTGTGTATCTCTGACATTTGTGAGCGGACAACGCTTTGGCTGACAGGGTTGAGCTAGTAAAAGATCAGGGCATGTCTACAGAGAGGAGCCAGTTTAAATATGATAAAGATTAGAGTAAATAGGATTTCAGTCCTTTCCTTTTTTAAGTAAATGGAGTAATTCTCTGAGCATGTGGAAAAATAATAAACAACCTCTCTGCTGCCAAGTAACAGGCCAGCAGTCTAGACTTTTTCTTAACTGGCAATCAACTCAATTAAGAAATTGTGAATAAATGCCGCACATGCTACTTCTCTGATTTATGCCCCCGAATACATGCTACTTGTTTGTGAATTCCTCCGAGAACCATTACAGCATCTGAATCCAGACCAAGATTTGCAATTCTTACCATTCTCTTGCCATGGGTGTCAGTGCCAGAGCACTCGGGCATTGCTATCGGAGCCCAGACCAGCACAGCAATCCCTCCAGCATCGCCTCAGCTTCCCACTGCGGGCACGTATTTTGTGTGTTTGTGGCAAGATACGTGTCCAAGTGTTTGTGTTTCTGTGTGGGGATAAACTATAATTTGATTATGAAGAAATGTTGCGCAGTTTAGTAGAGTCCGTTCAGGCCGGGGCGCCAGGAATGCTCAGTGAACTCATTGCAAAGTTATGTAGGCCAAAATTCCCTGTATCATCCTCTGCTTTTAGTCACTTTTCGGTGCTGTCAGTCTGATTTTTCTGATGAAGAGAGTGTAAACAGCTCCCTCTGACATTGGGGAGTCAGCAAGCGCTCGGCTCCTCCGCGCTGGGAAATGGGGTCCCCTCTCATCGAAGCGCTCGCTGTCAGAGGCGGTCGCTTTTATCATCTGTCTTCGCGGGATGACGTACATCCTTATTATTCCTTATGATCTGTTCTCCTGCTTTTAATGACCCTACGGAGCTAATGAGATGTTTAGCTCCCCCACCCAAGCGCAACCATATGGATGAGATGATATCAGGCGGCTCACTGAAACCATTCAATCTCAGGCATGCAGAATAGCCAGAAAGTTCCTGTTTTCGGCATCTCGGGTTTTGGTCTTCAAATGCAGAAGCGTATGGCCTGCTCACATGATGTCACAGCCTAACAGAACACACTGTCTTCTGCAGACAAAATCCTGGCTATTTTTAACTTTAAAAAGATGTGCAGCTGACTCTTCTTCCACCCGGGGTGGTTTTCCTCCCTTCCTGCCCTCCTTCCAGAGGCCCTGGCCTTGGTAATGTCACACAGTAATTCTGCACCGTGGTAGACGTGGTGGCAGGGGATATCGATCCCCAGCAGCATCCCAGCACCTGTGGTGGCCACCTCCCACAGCCCACAAGCTGTCCTGCAGTGGACATCCAAGATGATCCTGGAGACAGACCACCGGATTCTCTTTCACCATTTATGCATCAAAAAGCCAAGACATCCAGGGACCCCGGCCGTGCTTCCTCAGCTGCAGGGGAGGGACACGCGTGTGGCCTCGCTGGGTGTGGAGCAGGAGCTGGAGGCACAGCACCAGGAAGAGACAGCACAGAGTTAGATTGCTTCTGGAATCATGGAATGGTTTGGGTGGGAAGGGACCTTAAAGAATATTCAGTTCCAACCCCCTGCCCTGGGCAGGGACACCTCCCACCACACCAGGTTGCTCCAAGCCCCCTCCAACCTGCCCTTGAAGCCCTCCAGGGATGGGGCAGCCACAGTTTCTCTGGCCAACCTGGGCCAGGCTCTCACCACCCTCACACCAAAGAAGTTCTTCCTAATCTCTAACCTAAATCTCCCTTCTTTCAGGGTCCAACCCTTCCCCCTCATCCTGTGGCTCCCCTCCCTGATCCAGAGTCCCTCCCCATCTCTCCTGGAGCCCCTTGAGGGACTGGAAGGGGCTCCAAGGTCTCCCTGGAGCCTTCTCTTCTCCAGGCTGAGCCCCCCCAGCTCTCTCAGCCTGTCCCACAGCAGGCAGGAAGACCCACTCACTTCTCCTTTTGGCACAAAACAAGGAGGATCCTCGCTGCAAACCCCGTCACCGCACCCCGAGGCTCCACAGCAGCTCCTTGCAGGGGTTTCAGGAGGGGAGGCTGTGACTGACACACGGCAACTCCTGGAACACACATGGTGTCTGGGGGTCAAGTGAGAGGAGAGGGGAGTGTTAGTCCAGCCTGTGTTCTTCCAGGAGAGGACTGAACCAGTTGGGGTGTTTTTTAACTGCTAAAAGCGCAACCATTCACAGTCTTCCTGGAATGAAAGGAAGCCTTGTCTGTGAAAGACAGGAAGAATTTCCTTTACTGTAACTGGTAGGGAGCAAAGGAAATAAAAGCAGAAGAGCAGCTAGATGAAGGTCAGCTGATGGGATGAATCATACGGTGATGCAAGTTACCGAGTGCGTGGCTCAGTGCACCGCCCAATAAAACCAGATGCCACCTAAGTGCACAAATACCACTTACCTCCAGTCACCCCCCCGTGGAAGTCGTTTCTCTTGCTCAGAGCAGAATGGGCTGCTTTTTGTTTGTTTGTTTGTTTGTTTCTTACTACAACACTGTGCATTTAAACATCAGGGTAAGATTTATCAGGCAGGACGACAGTGATGATATTGAGGCAGAAATTATTTCTTTAGATTTTTAGGCATTTCATTTCTAAAAATCAAGGTGTGAGCATTGCCCAGTCTGAAATAGTGCCGAGGGGACGGAGGCTGCTGTGTCTGGAAACACGTTTGCCATTTCCATGAGAAAGGGGAGCACAATGAAATTCATGCTGGGACCTGCCTGGCCCGTAGGAATCACATGGACTTCCCGAAACACTGTGACACCAAGAATAATCTTGTCAAGGAAATATTATTTTTAATAACTGCCTCTGAAATGACTGCGCACCTTGAACCAGCAAACTTTGGCTTGTCTGGGAAGCTGAAAAGGCCTCGCTGTATTTTCACACGTCGCAGATGAGCTGCCCTCCAAGTGCCCCAGCTCCCCTCGGTGCCACCAGGGATACTCTGTGTGCTAAAAGCCGTGGATGGCACCAGCAGAAATCTCAACATCTGAATTTTTCGAACTGTTTTAGCAACTAATATGTTTCTCAGAGCCTTGGCCGAGTGGGCAGATTCTTTCCGTAGAAGCCTGCGCTGCATTTAAACACTTAGGGTTCGCTGCTGTCTTTATCCAGGACAAAATTGCCTTCACAGTAGAAGTGTTTTCTTTTATATAAACAACGGCTGTACAGTTGCTATTTTGTGAAGTACTATTTGAGCCCGTCTCCAGGAGGGTGTTACAAACGTGCTGCGCTTTTTCAAGAAGGTACCAGGAGAAATGGAAACAATCTGTGGGCTTGTACTTTGGGAGACCTTGAGGTAGCAGGAACCACCCCAGAGGTTTTTTCTGGTTGTGGTCTAAAAGCAGGATGTCCATACAAATGGTGAAGAACCTGCAACCAAACCCAGCAGCAAGAGGACTACAAGAAGAAACGGAGAGCAGAGCTCAGCAGAAGCCTGTGTCCAAGGTGGGACCACCAGCAGTTCCAGTGGCACCTCCAGGGATGGGGCCAGTAGCCAGCACTGGTTGATTGTGAGCAGAGACGGTGCCAGAGACACCACAAACGTGCCCGTGTGGTGCTGGTTGCACAGCCCAGCAGTGACATCTGGGTCCTGGCTGAGGGAACTGTTGGTGACACCAGGAGCAAGGAGGGGGTTACAGTTCCTTTGGTGAAAGCCTTCTCCTGGCTGAGGTGGCAGCACGGCCACATGCTCCGGGGATGACGCTCAGCTGCCTCCTTAGTTAACAGTCTGAACAGGAAATAGCCAACTCACAAATTAATTAGCAACGCTTAATGAGCTCTCATGCTTTGACTGTAAGTGATGAAGGCAGAGACGGGCACTGCTGATGGAAGACATTTCTTCTCAAACTGCCTCTGCACGTGTTCTGAAAAGGGGGGAATTGGCCCCGTATTTCTGACTGATGACTTGCACCCAACGAAGCTGGTGGGGTCTTCTACCGAATGGCTCGAGCTTTCACAGACCAAAAGGTCACCTTCCACAGGTACCTGTGATCCCGTGGGGTCAGCAAGCCTGGGAAAACAACAGAACTACAGCATATTTGAAAAGCTGTGTTTAGATTAAGGATTATTTTCCCCCTAAAAATGAGGAGTCTGAATCCATTGAAGAGCTGCAATTGGCAGGAGCTTCTCACCAGCCCAGGACAGGGCCCTGGATTTTCATGCTAAATCAGTCCAAGCCTAGACTTCTTAAAAAACTGTATCTGTTTCCATGGGAAGGGCCTGCTTTTCACTAACCTATAATTTAAGAAATGGTTTGCGGATTTAAACCGTATTTTGAAAAATAAATTTGCCCCCGGGCTGATGGCTTTTACGGCCTCACCAGCCTCAGAACAATGTCACGTGAAATGACAGGGATCAAGACCTTGATTTAAACTGTTGGAGCTGCACAAGAAAAACAAGCCTGGAGAATAAAGCGCAGGATCATTAATTATTGCGGCACAAGCAGCACAGCTGTAATTATCTTGTTCGCCGAGAATGTCTCCCGCAAATTTTATCAGTCATATTGTTAATACATGGAAACAGGAGCCCTTAGTCTTTCTGCTCTTTCGGTGGTGATCAAAATTAGACAAGATTTCTAGTTACAGCTGCTATTAATAAATCTGCTCCTTGAAAATTTGGTCGTTAATTTCTTAGGATTCATGACACTCAATAAGCTATTGAAAAATATAATTGCTCGTGGCTGTAATTTTGAAGTAATTATAGAAGAATTGCTGAATGTAGTCTTTTCAAACGCATCGAAGCTCTCTGAAGTTGAAAAGTGTCTCTGCCAGGAAAAATCAAGCGCACGAACTCATTTGTACCCTCTTCCCAAAAGTGCCTGTGGACAAACGCCTGTGTCACACAGAGACCTGTCCCCATCCCCACACCAGCACCCGTGAGCGAGGGTGTCTGCTCAGGAGAGCTCCCACCTCCCCTCCAGCCTCAGCGCTGGGAGCTGACCAAATTTGTGACCACCCCTGCATGGACCTGGGCTTTGCCTCCCCATGCTCTCCCTGCTGCTCCCTGGGCTGGCTCCGGGCTGTTTACAAACTGCTTTTCTTCAGTGACATCAGTGGAAACATTCTAGAAATTCACTCTGTTGGCCAAGAGAACTAAAACAACATGCCTTTAGGAAGTAAGGTGCTCGCTCCTCAAGGAAACGCTCTCTCTTAGCCAGGCTACACGGCCTTCCATAAGAAACACCAGTTTCATTTTCACGGCACTCAGGGAAAACATTTGTTTTCCATTAACAGGCTGGGACAAACTCCACCTTCAGCTCTCCCGCCCGGCCCCAGCGATGCCACGAGCGACGCGTACGTGTGTCCCAGAGCCACGGCTTCAGCCCGTCCTCCTGGAGGAGGAAAGAGCAGCGAGAGCAGCCCTGCAGCTCGCCCCTCGCAACGGCTGGACGCAGCAGAGACACCACAGGACACCACGGCCACGTCCCACACCCCCTCGCTGGCTCTCCTCAAGAAAAGAGCTGAGTCTGTCCCACCCATGGCACTAAAACTCACACTAAGGAGTTAACGAAGGAGAAAAAGAAAGTTCCAGATTAAACAGATGCTCTGGTTATGATGGTTAGAAAATGAACAACGGGAGCAGCCAGAGGCACGGCGGTCAGAGAGAGTTCCCCTTGAGAAAGCGGCGCAGGGTCGATGAAATCTTGAAACAAGAAAAATTCCAGCATTGAACAATGTTTTTAGGGGCTAAAAGGCCCAGGGACAGCCCTGGGGGCTCCCCCAGCCCTGGGTGGCCTCGCAGGGAGCGGGTCCCTCCTGCTCACACAAGGTTCTAACTCGTAATGGGAAAAGAGGAGCCAGGGCAGGACGTGTCCCTCCTGCCACCACCGCCCACCCGGGGGTAAGAAAAGTTGAAGACTTTCCTTGGTCAGTAACTTCATCTCTGAGAAGACACAGCCACAGAAAAGCTGTTCCCAAAGGAGCCGGGTTGCAGGTCCTTAAGGAAAACAACAGCAAGAGAAAGCAGGAAGGAGTTTGGGGAGCGAGGGTGGATCACCCGGGGCCTCCCCCGGTCTGAGGCTCCTCTCCCTGCCCAGGGATGGGACAGGCAGAGCAGCTGCGTCACCAGAACAGGCATCTCCTTATCTCCTGTGCTGCTTGTGAAATCCGTGACCAACCTACAGCCCAAATACTTCCCTTGGGGTGCTGTGATAAGGACCTGCGGCTGCTCCAGGATGTCTCAGCGACGCCGACCGGCAGCGGAGCTCCACCGTCCTGCCCAGGAGTCACGCACAGTTCCTCACCCCCGCTGGTGGCCGAGCACCCAGCTGCTGGCCTGACTGTACCACAGAGCATTGGTGGAAACTCAGCCTTGGAACCCCAGCAAGTGTCTGTGGCAGAACCAGGGTGCCTGAGCCACTTGAGCGAGCTGGGCTGGCCCCACAGGCCACTGGGGCTGGTTATTCCACCCTGTGCCCGCCACAGCCCGGATGGTGGGGCACCCGTAGGTGCTGACAGGCCGGATCCACCTGCACAAAGTGCCCTGACCACAGCGTGGCCATGCTGGGCAGGGCCTGGAGCCACGGGGGCTGCCGTCACGTGCGGGCGTTGGGCTGACGTGTGTCAACGTCACGGCCCGGGGAAGGAGCGGTGTCACCGTGTGGTGGCTCTGAGGTTGTCCAGAAGATACGATCTTGTGGTAGAGGTGACCATGAGGGAGACCTCCCTCCGCCAGCAACGCCTGGTGCCTCACCACAAAGCTCTTTGTGATGTTCTTCAGGGAGCCTCTCCAGCAGTAACATCTCAAACCACAGCTCCTCGCTGTCCTCTGCCTTCGTCACCTTTTCCTCCTGTGTGGTAATTACCGGTGGTGGTGTTCAGAGCTCCCCGTGCCCCGCTGCGGCTGGCTCTCGGGAGCTCCAGCAGTGACTCCCACCCTGGGAGCAGATGTCTTCAGCTCCAGCTCCCACCCTGGGAGCAGATGTCTTCAGCTCCAGCTGGGAACAAACAGCTGGAACAGGCAGAGGTTTAGAAATCAAATTCTGCCTCTGTACAAATGTTTTCGGTAAGGAAAATAAACAGAGACATGGGAGCAACGTGCTTCCTCCTGCTACTCTGCATCCCGGGAGGAGACGGGCTGGGAGAGCCCAGAGGAGCTGCTCAAACCCCAAGTGGGTGATGGCTCACAGGAAGCTGTTCATCTCCAGAGGCCACACCACGTGTCCAGCCATGGCCATGGCAGAGCAGGCTGCCCAGTGCTCCCTGGGGGGCAGGAGACCCGCAGCACCTCTCCCACACAAGGCCCCTCCTGCTGCAATTCCCGCGGGGATCCACGGCTCCGTGGGAAGCTCCGTGTCCTGCCGTGACACCGACAGAGCTTCCTCCTGCCCCGCGGCTCCGGACATCGCCCCGTGGTCACTCTGCACCAGGAGCGCACAGGAAATAATCACAGGCTCTTCTGCAGAGCCCCCGGTCATCACTTGAGGGATGGAAGACACCTGGGATGCCCGTGGCTGCCTGCCCTGCCTTTGCCCAGGCAAGAGAGAATTGGCTTTCCCCTTTGTTTCAGGAAAATTAAGGGAATTGCGGAAAAGGAGTAATAATACATTAAAAATATTGGCAGGAAAAGTGCTACGTCCCAGTCTGGCTGCAGAGTTAAGGAGGAAATCAATCCCGGGCATTAACATGGGGGGTTTCTGGATGCTGCAGGGATTTTACTGCTGAATTTACCCCTCATGTAACCACTGGCCAAACACCCCCCCAGATACCCTGTCACCGGCTCTCACCTCGCCCGAAAACTACACAGGTATCTTTTTACAGGAGGGGACTGGGCAGGTGGAAGGGGAACTCCTAGAAAGCCCTGATCCCAGCCCTCTCCTGCGCTGCCATCGCGGCGCTGGCTCCGGACCAGCAGCCACAGGATGGAGCCCGTGGCCACCAACCTCACCCCGTCCCTCGCCTGCACCTGGGGGAGGCACCTACCGGAGAGAAAGCTCATCCAAACCAGAGGATGCAGCGACTTCAGGCAAAGGTCTCCATCTTTTGCGGATTATTTATTCCCTCTTGAAGAACACAGGACCCATGTTCACCTGAGAGCTCTGAAAGCTGCTGCAGGGACGCTCTGCGACACCTTCCCACGTTCTTTTTTCCTGCTGTGTGATTATTACTTCACTTTCCTCGACAGCACTACACCGTAGTTTGAAATTACATTTTATAAAGCCTTAGGAAGACTTCTCCATAACCTCTACTCCTGCGCAGCGGCTCGGGGAGACAGAAAAGGGATTGTAACTGGGCAGCTGGGCACAAACACGGGAACTTCTAGGAGAGGAAGGACAGACACTCTGCTTGTGTGCTCGAGTTTGGTAGTGGATGGGACCACATCACTACACACATGTCCATTCTCCTCCTGCAAAGTCCCACATCAGTGTGGACTGAGCCACATCCCCCTCTTCCCATCACATTTTGGGCCAACGACACTCCCAACTGACAGGACAGTAAGTTCAAGCACAAATTCCTAGTTGAAACGACTAATTCCTTACGAGCCCCCAGATGCAATGGCTGCAGCCCCTCTGAGTACTGGGACACACGTCCCAGAGGGATGGGTGAGAGGAGAGAGACCGACGTCAGCCCCGAGGTGGTCACAGTTCATGCCCTCACCCACACGCTCCTGCTGCAAGAACAAAAAATGGACACAAAAATGTACCAGAAGTAAATGGACATACTGTATTTATTGCACAAATTTCCCCTAAAATTGGGAATGGTTATTATAATACAAGTGCACATCTTGGGAAATATATACAAAAACAGAAGAGATAACAAGTATGTACATTTTACCCAGCATTTTACAAGTACCACCATCTAAATAATTTAGAGAAAGCAAAAAATAGTCATAAAACATCTCTAACGACTAAGAGGGAAAACATAGGCAAGGTGTAAAATCCTTTCTTTTTAAATATTGTTTTGTTCTTAGCAGCCCAGTGTTTGCCAATTGCAACAAAACCCAAATTTGCTCATTTGTGTGCCTAGTACACTGAGTCTTCAGCCAGAAAATTAAGACATGTTAATGGAGATTGGTAAGAGTGGAAGAAAAAAAAAAAAAAAGAAATCAAACGTTAGTTTTCTATTCACATAAAACAATCGCCAGATACCTTTTAAAAAGCCGACGCTATAGTTCTGTAAAAGATCCCTTTTTTGTATTATTTAACAAAGAGACTCACGTACCACGCTGCTCACGTACCCTAAGAGTTCCCTGGGAGAGGGGGTGAGCCCCCCCAGGCCGGGGGGTCGGTGGGGGCTCCACCTCCTGCTGCTCCAGGGGGTGCCCCCCGGGAGCCACCGTCCCTGCTCCCTCTGGGACACACCAAACACACCCTCCCGGGTCGTGCCAGCCAGAGGCAGGTGCCACCCAACCACCACCTTTTTCTCCTTCTCAAATTAACACCAATTTCCAGCCGTGGAAGGGCCTTTTGAGAGTCCGAGCTCTTCGTAGCGATACCCACAATTTGCCCCATAATGGTTAAACGGGGGAGAATGCAGTATTTTTCCTGTGAGGATGCCTTATGAGCAGGGCCCTGGCAGTGCTGGGGCTACAGTGTGGTGCTGCCCGGGAGCATGGGAGTGCTGGGTCCCACCAGGCCAGCACTGGGTCACTGCTGCACATCGGGCAGAATCATAACTACGGGCCGCGCACCGGATCGTAGCAAAGAGTTAAAAACTCATATTCTGAGCTCAATCCGATATTTCATGCTAAAAATGTGTTTACACAACTGGGCCCCTACCATTTTGCGCTCGTTCCAAAAGCCAGACGTCATGGAATTGTGTGGCGAAGGAGGGACGTTTGAAGAACAGGGGAGAAACCTACCCTTGGATCCCAGATGGAGCCCCGTTCCTCCCCTGCAGCAGTCAGCGCGGGGTTTTACACACACCAGAGTTCCAGGTGCCACTGCCTTCTACCAACGTGGGGTGTCCTGGCTGGGGGGGACTCAGTCCCACCAGGAAAGGGCCTGTGGAGGAGATCTGCATCCATCTACAGTCATGGATTTGAGATATTACTGAAAAAAAACCCCACCGGGGGTGAAGTCCTGGCCCCAGCGAAGGAAGGGAGGAGGGTTCTGTGGCTGGCAGCGGCGGGGCAGGGACCTCTCCTATTGTTCTGGAGTTTATCAAATGGTTAAAATAGATTTGTATTTAAAATAACTCGGCAAACAACAATAGCAGGCGGGCTACGCTGCTGACAAGGTGATTACAGGACGGCCTATTTATAGACCCCTTTATAGAGCTGAGCGACCACGTGAACACACATCTATCTCCTACTTCTGGGGATAAATCCACCGATTTCCAAGAGGCTAAAACGCCATCGATGTGAACAGAACCTAAAAACCTGCAACAAGAACCAGGTGCCGGGACAAACACGCGGAGCGAAGCCTGTGATGAAGCGTCCAGTTAAACTGAGGTAGTAGAGCCTTTTGAAAACAGAATCCACCCACCAACCCCTGTCTATTTACATTATTACTGACACCAGCTTGGGTCCGTCAGCCCTTCCTACAGCTATTGTATATACAGGGAGCAAACAGCGCGGGCTGGGTAAAGGAGAAATGCTGAGAATAAAATAAACAACATTTCCTGCTGGTAATTCCACGAGTGAGTAGAAAAGGGAGGAGAATCAGCTGCATCAAGGGTAGAATTGTCCAAAAATAATTTTGCTATCGCTATCCTGTAATCAAGGGTCGGGTTTTTTTTGTAGAACAGTTTTAAAAATATATATCAATTCGTTACCTGAGCAATTAAGGGTAATAGTCTATTCAGGTTTTTTTTTTTGCCCCCGATGCTTTGGTACAATTCTTCCTAGTTGGTTATTTCACTGGCTGACTGACTGACTGCTGTAAAAAAGAACATGACGTTGCAAGAACATTATAGACCATAAAAAAGTTAGAGGTAAAGGGTCATGTCGTTGCAGGGACCCCAGGGGGAAATCTCAGCCAACCCTCTCTTTAGGTTATGGTGTTTCTTTTTTTTTTTTTCCTTAACATTTTGATTAGGTTGTGGAAGAAAAGCATCACTTAGTATAAAGCAACATTGAAACATTATAAACATTTAATACTGGTTACAACCTCCGGCCCAGAAAGAGAATCTCCATGGCTGGTCTGTCTGTCTGTCTGTCGGCTGCTCCCTCCCTCTCCCCAGGAGAAAGACCATAAATAATAAATTTTGGAGCTGAGCATCATTAATAAGCTTTTTACAAAACAAACCCTCCCCCCCCCCGGCCCCAAGCCCTGTTCTTCCTCCGGGAAGTCTCCAGGAGTTGAGTGTGGTGTGAAAAAGGAGCAGTTGTTTACAAATCCTCGCCGCTGGAGAATGGCACAGCCCTTAACGAGCTCCTGGGCGGCAGCGGCCGCTCGGAAGCCCCTGCCTCCTCGTTAAGTCTCTAATTGCCACCAGCATCAGGTAGTTCTCAAAGCAGTTCGTCCGTGTGCATTTCCCAATATAAATTAGAGTCAGCCACTGGGGCAGAAACTGGTAAAAAATGCGGATCTTCAGCTTTTGCTGAAATCTTTGCTTTTCTGTGGTTGAGATCCCGGACTTAACTCAGTTTTATCTTTATCCTTTTTATATAAAGGAGCGAGCGGGAGAGGAAAAGTCTCCAACTGTTTGCAGTCATATAAGGAGGTGCTGCAGCTCCAGGAGCAGTTTGTTTTAATTGCTTCAAAGAGAAAGGAGCCAGAACAAGTTGTTTTCCCACTCGGTTTCCAGAGGGGGGTGGGGAGAAAAAAAAAAAGTCACTGTCTGTGGCCTCTGGCATTTTAAAGCAGTATCTGGGCAACGTAGGGAGAGTGGGTGCTGGCCACCGCCGCCAGCAAGGGCAGGTCGCTGGATTCAATCCTGGAAGGAAGCAGAAGAGTCATGTTTAATTGAAGGCAAAGTGTAGATGGGCCTTGGTGGCCACATCGACCGCTCCAGCCCAAGCGTTTGCGCCGGGGCCAGGAGTTTATGCACCTCTGAGTGGCTGAGGAGAAGGTTCCTCAAGTCAAAGTGACCCCAATGGCCCTCTCTGCTCCCCCAAGGTGACACACTGCAGCCACTGGGATGTTCTCAGCATCCCCTCCCCGTGTTACAGCCCCCACCACCCTGGTCCTTGGGGTTCTCCCAAAAGCCATGAGGAAGCGGATGGAGGGAGGAAAACCAGCAGGTTCCTTCCTGCCCTCAAAGGGAGCGATAGTTGGGGGACAAAGCGCAGGAGCAGAGGAATTTAGGAAGAACTTGTTTGGTGTGAGGGTGGTGAGAGCCTGGCCCAGGTTGCCCAGAGAAGCTGTGGCTGCCCCATCCCTGGAGGGGTTCAAGGCCAGGTTGGAGGGGGCTTGGAGCAACCTGGGCTGGTGGGAGGTGTCCCTGCCCAGGGCAGGGGGTGGCTTTGAGGTCCCTTCCAACCCAAACCACTCTGTGATTCCATGACCAGGCTAAACTCCTCCTGCAGCTCCCAAGGAAGTGCTGGCACTGGGCTGCAGCTCACCCCCTCCCGAGCCTTCCTATAAACACCCCTGGAATAGCTCCTCCTGTGCCCCACACCCCCAGGGGGGAACAATGGGCCCTACAAGGACACAGAGGGGGGTTCTGCCACGTTGGGTAAAGCCCGTGCAGAGGAGTCAGGTGCCCACATTGTTTGGTGGTGACAGACTCTCCTGGTCCATCAGGACACGGTTAAACACATCTGAACCACGACCCCGACCAACCAAGGACAGAGCCTGAGCAGCTCCAGAGTGCTGGGCCCACCTTCCTGCCCCGGGGAAGAGAGAAAAGCTGGGGGATCCTGTGGGATTTAGCCATGGCTGAGGAGAATCCTGCTGCCACGGGTGGTTTTGTGCCACCCCATGTTTCCAGCCCCACGTAGGGACCCATTTCACCCCAGGGCAGCCCCGGCGGGAGGAGGGGGAGATCGTACCCCAGCACCAGGCCCAGCTCCTTGACGTGAACTCTCATCTGGCCCTTGAGATACTCGGACAGCATCTTGCTCTTGAAATACAGCTCCTGCAGCCGATCCTCCAGGTGCATCACACACTAGAAAGCAAAGGGAGAGGGGTCAGGGAGGAGACAGGGCTGCACGGGAGACCCCCTGCCCGGGGGAACCATTAGCAAGACACCGGCAGATTCTTCTTCCCTGGCAAGACTCTCACTTTTGAGCAGAAGCCTTTGATTGCACGTTAAATCAGGATTAATGAGGGAACCGTCTTGATTAGGGAGCAGCGCTTAAACGGACAGCTCAAAAAGCTACATCAGGGGATTTCACTGAATTTCACTGAATTTTAGAGTTGGAAGGGACCATAGAGACCATCTAGTCCAACTCCCCTGCTGAAGCAGGATTGCCCAGAGCTAGAGCATGTTACTCAGGACTGCATCCAGGCGGGTCTTGAAAATCTCCAAGGAAGGGATGCTACCGAAATTGGGGAAACAGACAAATTAGGCAGAACTTTACACCCTCCTTAACCTACAAAGCGAAAGGATGCTATAAAAAAAAACCCATCTCCCTCTCAATTGTCGTTCCCACTTACAAAGTTTGGAGACAGATTGTGCTTGTAAAGCTGCAGAGTGGAATGAAGCAGGTTGGAGACCAGGCTCGAGACCAACACCTCTTTCCCCAGCTTGTTGTCGATCATCCGCCTCTGGCTACTGGCCACTTGCACCGTCCACTTGTCCGTGTCTGCAATGATGCAGACGGCCTCCGCGATGGGCTCGTCCAGGACAGGATGCTGGAAACAAACAAACAGACAAAGAGAAGAACCCTGAGAATGAGGAACGACAAGGGTCTTCTCACAAAAACCCCACACCCTTCACCGGGAGCGAGACGCCGACCTAGAAGGATCGTTGCGTCGTTTCTTTCATTTCCTTCCAGGCTTGAAAGCTGGACAGTGAAATCTTTTGGGTTTTGCTATAGAGCTCTGACATCTCTAAAGTGTATTTTAACAGAAAGTACCAACTTCCAGCATGGCTGGGTGTTAACGGGTTCATTCCCAGTTGTGACTGGTTTCCCTGCACTGGAGGGCCCAGCAGAGGGAGTCAGGCACCAAGCCTGCGCCTGGCTCCTCGCTCCTGCCCAAAGCCATGGAGATGTGAAAAAGGGGAGTATTTTGACCTCCCCCCAGTCCTTCCCCGATACATTTTTTGGGCTGGACTGTTCGGAACCACCTCTTTCCAAAGAGTCCCACAGGGACTTCACACAGGACTGGGCTGCAGTTACTGTTTCACTTGAAAATAAGCATGTAAAGTCTTGCTCCCTCATTTTGTATCCTCTCAATCTCTGACTTCAGCAATTGAAGTTGTCTGCTGACCTCAATGTGCCAGCAATGGGCCCTTGTGGCCAAGAAGGCATTTCACTCGAAAATAAGGATATAAAGTCTTGCTCCCTCCTTTTGTATCCTCTCAATTTTTGACTTCAGGCAATTGAAGTTGTCTGCTGACCTCCATGAGCCAGCAATGGGCCCTTGTGGCCAAGAAGGCCAAGAGCATCCTAGGGGGACATCAGGAAGAGTGTGACCAACAGGTGGAGGGAGGTCATCCTGCCCCTCTGCTCTGCCCTGGGGAGGCCCCAGCTGGAGCACTGGGACCAGTTCTGGGCTCCCCAGTTCCAGAAGGACAGGGAACTGCTGGAGAGGGGACTACATTTGCAGTGAAATAGTCTTGTTTTTTCAGATACATTAATTGAGAGAAAAGAAAAGAAAAAAATTGGTGACCTGGGACTGGAGAAACCTAGAGAGAGCTGTGACAGTAAATATTTCCACTTCCCGCAGGTTTGTACATTCAAAAACATTTGCCCTTCCCTACTGTGACAAATAAATTTACCAAATATAGCTTAATTACCTGCACAGCATGAGACAAATCCGACACCAAACAGTGCCTCAGCTTCTCATCACTTCCTATTCCTTGCAAAACGAAGTCGGGGACATAGGAGGAGCAGTAGCCACCCAGTAAGGATCTTCCAAAATTGGCGATACTGGGCTGGACAGAGTTCACTTCAACTAACTTTGACCTGCAGGAAAGGCACAGCCAAGAGACGTACAAGAGTAAACACCAAATTCAGCTTAGAGAGAGGCTGCATTCTCACATTTCTCATCTCTCTTCTAACTTTCATTCAAGCACTTTTAAAAAAGAAAAGAGTTTAAAGTCAACTTTGGAGTGGAAGAAAAGGACACGAGCCAAGATTCTCGATGCACAATGAATATTTTTTTCCAGACCCCTGATCTCTCTATATTCTTTTACAAGCACCAAGCTCAGGAGACACTTTTCCAACGGCTGATGCCAAGTTGGGCTACATTCCTCCCAACATGTGACATGAGAAGACGCTCTGTCTTTTTTAGGCTCTCCTGCTGCCGGAGAGAACTTACCCAGGGAAAGGAATCTCGTATTCTTCTGCCCAGTCCTCCTGCTCTCCTCCGTAATAGTTCCCGCCTGGTCTGGTCAGATCATGACCCGTGTCCTCACTTTCGCTGTCACCCAGGGCACTGTCTGAACTCTCATTTCTTGGAATGTCCCAATCAATTCCCGGGGCGACTTTTTTCTCTACGTTTTCTCTGTCCCCATGGGGGACGCGGATAGAGATGCTCTCTCTTTGGTCCTGCTCATTAAAGCAGTTTTTGTAGGTCTCTTGTCGAACAGAGTCCATAAATTTACAAAACTCGCTAGGTGCTTTGCCAGTCTTTGTACACAGCTTTTTAGAAAACTCTAAACTACTGTTGTGAGCAAGGAGGTCTGTCGCTGCCTGCCCTGGAATATCATCAATAGTCCGGGTTTCAATTGAGCTGTCATCAGTAAAATACTCATCAAACAGACTCATGCTCTCGGCGGTGTAGGGGTTTGGGTTCCAGCTCTGATGCTGAGGAGGGACCGGAGGGAAGGGGTCAGCTGTCCCGCAGGCTCTATTTTGGTCCTCGACGTTTTGTTTGGCTTCACAGTTGGGGTCAGCAGGCGCTCCCTCCTGCGTGGCCGGCGGGCTGTGATGCCTGGTGATTTGTTCCACCACTGCCTGACTCCGGAGCTCGATGTCCGAGTCGGGTGACATGGAGTCTCCGATGAGGAAAGTCACCTTCGTCTGCGCCTCGGCGGCGCCGCAAGGGAAGGCCTCGCAGAAGAGCTTGTCTGGAGGCTTCTTCTCCACAGCGATGCCGGGGGACCTCGTCACCCCCACCGCCGGGCTGCCCGATTCCAGCGACTCCTCGTTCCTCCAGGCGTTTGCCGTGGGCTCCAGAGCAGACTCCGGCACCGCTCGTCTCTCCGGCGAGGCCGAGCCCGCGCACACCACCGTCTCCAGCGGCGTCTCCAGGCAGGGTCTCGCCTGCTTCACCTCAGCAGCATCTTCCTGGCACTCCTCAGGAACAATAGTTCTGTTCTCATCCGAAGACGTTTCCAGCTCCACCTTAGGGGTGTTTTGAGCGTCTTCCCTCTCCTGCTGTGACACACCTTCGATGTTCTGCGCAAGGGAAACGGGACATTTGCAGTATTTACAGCTGCAGTTGGGAGTTCTCGTGTCCTCAGACTCGGTGGGCAGCAGGTTGCCCCTGTTCTTGTGCATGGTGACAAGCACGTACTCTGATTCTTCCACCTCCCCCTTCTCCAGGGTGGTGGTGATCACAGTCCCGGGCATGACGATGGCTTCATCTTCCCCGTTCTCTAGGAGATGAGTCTCTTGGAGCTCAGAGCATCTGATGAAGTAGGTAAGGAAATAAAGCAGTCTCTGTACCAGGTCATGCCTTTTGCCCACCACAACTGTCTTCGCTAGTCTCACGGGTGATCCGATAGCCCCGTACAGGTCACCTAGAACGGGAAGCAAAACAGCCAATTAGTTTCCATCTTTAAAACAAACTGTTCTTCCAACAGACAATTGTTGTGGCCCTTTTTCAAAGGCCTGGTCTACAATGGAAAAACACTCCAGCAGAAGCGTGAGGACAGCTACGCCGGTATTTTATTTTCAATAAAGAGAATCCCAAAGATGCTGCTGGTATCGGCTGTAAGGTGACACGCTGGTCAGGGGGACATCTGATCTCACGTATGAGGGAGCATTCACACCACCAAACTTCACAGAGGCTCTTCTCCAGGTTCCTTATATAGCCACGGGAGAGGGGAGGCATCTACTCTGAATTACCCGGGATAGTCTGGAAACTGGGCTGAACTTTCACCCACCGAGAGGAAGCTTTGAGGACAAACAAACCTACGCCAAGAACGAGGGCAAAAAGGGACAGTGGCGGGTGCACGGTGACACCAACCTTCCTCTCTGCCCTCCCCTGGAGCTCTACGATGGGTTGGGGGGTTATTCTGACTGAATTCCAGATTCACCTGAGGAAGCTCCTGTGCATGTGGCCAACCTCACCCCAGTGGGTCCCTGGAGTCCCATGAGCTCTGAAATCAAGTCTTCATGCCAAGCCCCTGGCCATTGCTGCCTGTTCCACAACAGGGCAACCCCACAAAACTCTCCTTTCCATTCCATGAGTCTGTCTGCAGAGCAGGACGGTCTGACCAGAGTGGAAGCTCATCTCCTCCTCTCCACTCGGCAACCAGAAGCCAGGGTGACTCGCTACCCAATGGACTGGGCTTTGAGACCTTCCCCAGGGGGTCTCCTCGTCATGGTTTCCTGTCATTCCTTTGCCTCTTCTATTGAGAGTATGGTCATTTCTTATCAAAAGGTGGATTTCCTTGATTTGCTCTTTCCAGACCCAGGCTTAGTGATTGCAGCATCCCAAAAAATAAACACTGATTTTCCTTGCAGAGGGAAGAGCAGAGGAGGACTGCAATCCTCCACCATCGCCAGGGCAGGTGACCTTAAGAGACCTGCCATAGATGACTGAAGAGGGCTTTACTGTTTGGCTGCCATTTTATAATTGATAATGCCTTAAGAAATTACAGCACATGTGAAAAAAATACAGCGACCACCTCTAAGTTTGAAATACACACTTTTGTTTTGAGTTTAAAAAAAAAAAAATTAATCTGGGGGGGAAGTAACAAGCATCCATAAAAACCACTGCGCACATAGAGCTGCTGGAGGGTTTCGAGGTGTTTGCCACGTACCGAGCTGAGCCCACAGAGGGTTGTAGGGATGAGTCTTGGCCAACATGTCCACGCTCTGGGAAGAATGCTTCTCCAGGAAGATGCGTATGGGGGGCTGGCCGTTGGGCATGACGGTGGGCACCCAGGCCAAGTGGTTGGTCAGCACCGCCGTCAGTAAAGCTGGTAAAAACCTGAAAGCAAAACAGTCAACATTGGGTTTTTCCAGGCACACGCTCAGGATGTCCAACTGACAGCAGTTCCATGGTCTGTTCGGATCAGGGACTGCAGGAACAACCAACCAAAGTCAGCAGAGATCATCCTTTCAGTCCCGGTTCTTTGGGGAGGGAAGGGAAGGCTGGAACCTCCCTCCCACCCCTGCAAAGCTTTTTTTTTTATAACACACATTTAAAGGAAAATGAAATAAACTTGTGGCATCTCGGTTCCTCTTTGGCAAGAATTAGGAGACTTCCTATTTTGCAAGCTCCGTGTTGTAAAACACCTCAAAACCAACTCACTTTGCTCACTGCAAGAGAACAGTCACAACGTGTGGTCTCTGTACTCCAAGGAGGAGACCCCAACCCCTTAAGATCTGTGACTGCTGACGAAAAGGAAGCCTGTTGCTACCAAGCCTGTAAAATAGTTAGTTGCTGTGTTCTTTCATAGAACTGTTCAGCAACTTCAGCATATTTGGCTGCTCCTTTTCAAAAATACACCCTCCCCTCCGAAGTTCTGTAGCTCAGCCAGAAAGGCTGTGTCCTTACACTGGCAAAACAGTTTTCACTCGAGAAGCAAGTATGGGAAAAAAAAAAAAAAAAAAAAAAAAAAATTTTTTTTAAAAAATTAAAATAATGATTTTTCCTA